TTCTGTGATTCTGTGATTCTGTAAACAAGTGATTAAAAAAAAAATCCCAGTCACATAATTACTCTAGGTATATTTAAATAAATCGTTTCAAGGCTTTATTACATATTTTTAAACTCTACTAGCACACTGCAATGAGAAAAATATTCAGCTGTTTCAAATTAGGATCCATCACTGGTGATGATGAGAGAAAAGAGTTTTAAGCAATCTGAAAAACACTCCTTTCTTCCATTAGATCAATTACAAAAGGTGTTTGTCCCCTTATGTGCCTTGATATTGACTACTATGGATAAGGTGGCTACTAAAAGCCATGGACTCGTCTCTCCCCAGACCATGTTCAGAGTTCTCAGAGTTTCGACATGAGCAATGGACTGGCCAGGTTTGTTTAATGAAGGTTCTTTTCTCACAGTTATCTGTGCGTCCTTGGGAACTTACCTCTTCCAGTTCACAACTTGAGCCATTTAAGGCTCAGGGAGCAGGATTTTCTCTCTAATGTCCCCTACCCTCCCAGTGGAGGATTAAAAAAAAGGTAATAGAGAAAAAAGATGCTTCGCACGAGGTTGGAAGTTAAGACTGTAACAAGTTTAATGAAAAACAACAGGGGAAAGGAAAAGGGAACTAATAAGGGACAAAGGATATTTAACTATATACGAAAACCAATCCCAGTAGTCCCAAGTGGAAGTGTCCGAGCAGTGCCTCGTGGCCGCTGTGACTCGTCACCAGGGACTGCAGTGGTGTCGGGTGCAGGTGGTGGTGGATGCTGCCGAGCACGTGGAGGTAGCCCCAGCCGTCCCGAGATGCGACAGGAAACTGCCCAGAAAACCAGGAAAAGCCCGCGAGAACCTCGGGCTTCCTCAGGTTTTATGGACTGTGGCCGGAAAGGGGAGAGTACAGTACTGATCTCTGACCCCCCAGGGTCCTACAGACACCACCTGTCCTTCCCTTTCAGGCTGGTAACCCTTAAACCATAACAGAGCAAAACAATGCAGACAACTGCTCTTCAGATTTCTTCTGGGCTTCAGATTCCATTCTCCCCCCCCTCAACACTAAATGCCAGCTCAGATTTACTTATTCAGTGGTTACCAGCATTTTCTTGTATACAGTCTGATTGCTGTTCTAGACTGGTAGACATCTGGTTTTCCTCATACATTTGAAAAAATCTGATGTCTCACTTTCATTAATTTGGAAGTTATGTCTGTGATTAAACCTCATACCAATTCTTAAAGTAATAGAAAATAAAGTAATTTAAAAGAATATTTACTTTGGAACTGAGGCTATAATAAAGATCTCAGCTGCAGTTTTGTTGACAATGTTCATGTCCCCCATCTTAATTTGTCAAGTCAAACATTCACATTTTTGGGAGTCTGACAAAGCAAGATTCTATAGCACCAGCTGCAAAAACCACAGTCCCAAGAAGCTACACTTGCTGTATGGTAGCTCTTTAGCCACAACTGCATGGCATTCCAAGTCATCCCAGCCCTCAAGCTTGATCAAGGTAGCAGCTGACTCAGTCCTGAATTCTTCCTGAATGGGAAAACAACTTGACAGGATATTTTCTCCTAATAACTAAATACCTTTTGAGACTAACTACATTGACAGATAACAAAGTATTC